GAAATAAGGTTCACTGATGATAAGACATATAGCAGCTTGGGGAGGCGCGTATTTGATATTTACATTCAGGTAGGTAAGACTGGTTTTGATTCCAGAAGCTCTTACATTTTCTATGTTTGATTAAATCTAGAAAATAGGAAAAAGCAACATAGGTCTGAATGGAATGTTCAGTAGCTGAAATTCATAATTGCAGGGCAAGCTGGTGCAGAAGGATTTCAACATTGTGGATGAAGCAGGTGGGGTCGGCAAGGCTATTATAAAAAACTTTTCTGCTGCTGTGACCAAGGGTACCTTGGAGATTCGTCTATATTGGGCTGGAAAAGGAACAACAGATATTCCTGTCAAAGGCGTTTATGGTCCTCTTATATCAGCTATATCCGTTAATCCTAGTAAGTTGTGTAATTCTGCAAATTCCTTGTTGTATCTAATTTTTTTCTTCTAACATGTAACTTGTTCTAGAGCCTGCCTTATTGGCATTACTTTAGACCTAGCAATCAAATTGTGCCACATGTTTTTATCTAAAGATTCAATGCGATTAAGTAGTACAATCTGCAGATTTTATACCTCCGTCTAAAAATTGGAGCCTGGTGGTCGGAGTTCTAGTTCTGGTTGGAGCAGCATTTGCTCTTCTTTTGATCTTTGGTATTGTTTGGTGGAAACGCTTCTTAGGACAGAAAAACACACTGGAACAAGGTACTAAAGGGATACTAGCATTTAATTACAATACTGGCTTTTTCAAAACTTCTGGAAATGAATTTGGTACTGCAGAATTTTCTTAAAAAATACCATCAGTCTTCTTTCGCTATTCAAAAAAAAAAAAACTATCATTCCTCTTTCCTTTTAAATGACATATTGACATGATAAATGCTTATTTAAATTTAATTTCAAGATACTTGGAATCAAGAGAGTTTAGCAGTCACAATATAAATGATAATCTTATGGTCTTGCTCATCTTCTGCAGATCTAAAAGGTTTGGGCTTGCAGACAGGTTCTTTTAGTTTGAGGCAGATTAAAGCAGCTACCAACAACTTTGATCTTGCTAATAAGATTGGAGAAGGTGGTTTTGGTCCTGTTTACAAGGTATCAAGCACTACTAATGTTCCCCCTTAATCCTAGGGAAAGCTTGTTTAGAGCTCATGGTATTTCTTAAATGCAGGGCCAGTTGACAGATGGTAAGGCTATTGCTGTTAAGCAGCTATCAGCGAAATCAAAGCAAGGAAATCGCGAATTTGTGAATGAAATTGGCATGATTTCTGCTGTGCAACATCCTCATCTAGTAAAGCTATATGGATGTTGTATTGAAGGAAATCAACTCTTGCTAATATACGAGTACATGGAGAACAACAGCCTTGCT